GAAATAATTACACGGAAACTGTATTCTTTCAAACACTGCCTGGCCCGGATAGTTCCAGTTCCTTATGGCTAGCTCTTACATATTGTTCTAACCCATTTCTAATATTCTGTGTAGCCCACGAGCTGGCTTACCAGGGAGGATCTTAACCTGCGTCTGTCTGGAACGGGAGAACCATGGCGACTCCTCACACAGCTTCTTTTTCCCAGCATTCTCCTCTGTCTACTCCGCCTACCTAATTTTCTATCCAATAAAATGGGCCAAGGCAGTTTCTTTATTAATAAGAAATCACTCCCACATCATACTCCTGTTGTTTCTCCATTATCACCTAGTGCAGTGCACCACGCCCATCTGCGCTCTATGTGCTACCATACAGTTCATGAACGGGGCAAGGGGCTGGAGATTGAGACACACAAAGACCCACAGACAGAGACACGGGTCATCCTTGACACAGGGATCCCCCCTCCCCTTTACTGTGTACCAGAGCTGCTTATATAGAGATTCTTAACTGATAGTCACGCCCCAACCAAACCCACCAGAAACCACTCTCCTGCCACCAGGAACTCCTGAGGGTCTCGTGCTCAGAGCAGCTGCAAGCATTACAAGTTGTTTACCAGAAATTCAGGATCTGGAGGGGAGGGGGGCTGTTCACAGCTCCCAACAATCTAGCATTACCATTTCCTTCATGCTCAAACAAGAGCTTCCAGTGTTAAGGGAAGGGCAGAGACCCACACAGGCAACTACAGCATCAGCAGTGTTGAAAATGCTACAGGGACGTTACTATCGTGGCAGATTTGGTGGGAGCACAGGAAGGGCCTATTCCGTGTTGAAGGACGAAGGACGTCCCTCTGGAAAGGACTTTAAGAATGGACAAGACGTCCAACAAACAGTGTATAGGGAACATGGGCTTCATGTGAGCCAGAGTTTGAATATGCATGAAAGTCTACCATTTTGTTAATTTTCACCCTTAGTTTATATCCTATAAGGCTTTATTTGCCAGGGTAACCGAATTTTGAACAGGCAGGATGCTGTTGTCTCGTTTTACCTTAGTATAATGTAGATAAAGAAAAAGGAAAAAAACAAAAAACCACCAATCCAGAGCCTGCAACGCTGCTTTTTAGCAAACCAGAACCAAACCAAACAAAAACGAGCAATAAAGTCCAAAATGTCTATCTAGCATTACTTTCTCCATCTTTTTCAAAGTATTTTCATAGTCATCATTTCCCTTGATAACTGCAAAAATTACACCAGAGCATAGTGTGGGACGAAGCCATTTTTCCCCTCTCCCGGCATCCTTAGGATCATCAACACCCCCCCACCCCCCCACCCCCGCAACTATATGCTATTTGCTGAAAAACCTACACCTGGCAACAAAACAGAAACAACAGCTCTGTCATTTTGTCCGCTTATGCGTCTGCTCATATTTCAGCGAAGCTGGGAAAACTGATTTATATGCAAATCCAAACAATTGATGAGTTCGTTGATCTAATTTGAAAAGTTGTCTTGAGGAGTTTTACTCAGCCGGTACCTGATGTAATGAACCCGATGATCGGAAAGCAAGAATAAAGAGAGGCCCCTGAAGGGAACAGAAATCACTGAAGAGTTTTCCATCTCTAAGGACTGAAGAGAAGGCATCTTAGAGGGGCGGGTTAAAGAGAAGACAGCCCATATTATCTAGGAGGAAAAATGATTCAAAGTCCCATTTCTCAGAAACCGACTCTCTGAACTTTTCTTGCTGTCCCACAAGGGGGCTAGCGTTGGGAGACCGTGCTGGGAGCCCTTACCTGCGTTCCTGAGCTTCTTGTTGCGATACACAGACAGGATGACCAGCAAATTGCCCAGGATGTCCACCACGATGGTGAAGATGAGGATGGAGGCCAGTGTGGACGCCAGCCACGACGGCCGTGGCCGCCCATCCTCCCCGCTGCCTGGTACCTGCTGAGAGGCATTGAGCAGGGCGCTGCCATTGTCCCTCATGGTCCCCTGGGTGCCTCACCGCAGCACAGTCACAGCCATCGTCCGGTCGCCCAGCGCCCTCGGGTGACCAGCTCTGCTCCCGCCCTCTCCGCCACTTTTTATGGCTGGGCACAACCCTCGCGCGCCTACTTTGCATCTTTAAGGCTGCTTCGCGGAGGTCCTGGCCTCTCCAGCCCCTCCCGCTGGCCGGACACCTTCTCTGCACTTGGCCGCTGCGGTCTGCTGACACCTGCTGTCCACTGCTGGGCAACTTGGACGCCAAGGTCCCGCAGCGCGTGCACATTGCGCCCCCGTGCGGCGAGACTCTGCGAGACAGGCGGAACCGTGAAGCGGAGGGAAAACAAGGAAGCTAGTAGCTTTAGGAAAGATCCTCAATTTCCTTCTTGGATCTGAACCTTGCACGCAGAACTGACACAAGGCATGGGCTTGAACCCTAACCAGGACTGAAGTAGATAGCTTAGCCACTAGATGCCCTAGATTCCTTATCGGCAGAGTGGGGGTGAAACAGACTCTCAACAACTTTATAGTCACTGACGTGTAAAACTAAAATAATAACGAAATAAAAAGGGACGCCCTTTTGCTCTGAAAACGCACCATTTAACGTCTGTGCTGACTATTTCGAGTAATTTAAATAAAAAGCCGAGTATTTGCAGATGATTGGCGTGTGCCTTCGTTTGAGAATGTCAGTGACAACAGGAACAGAAGATGAGAAAGCGGATGTGTACCACGATGTAAGTAAGATTGCTGGGGAATGGATCAGCCAGTTCGGTACAGAAAGAAGCAAAAGCCCAAGACGTTCTGAGACGCAGGAAAGGAGGTTGACACAAACTCGGAGACATCTGATGTTCTCATATTGGACACTTACCATTTTCATGTTCTCACTAAATTTTAAACCAGCCGAATTCCCAAACATCTCCAGAGTTCCACTGAAGGGTAAAAGGAAAAAAAAAAAAGATAAAAGGAAATTTGAATAAGGTGAATAGCAGAAAAAAAATGTGATCTTACAATATTAAAATATACATTGAAAATTACGCAACGAGGCATAGCGGCTTTGTGTCGTGGCCCTGGAGGCCAAGAAAGGAGGATGGGTACCAGTGTGAGGACAGCCTGAGCTGCACCACCAACCAGTGCTGTAGTATAAGCTCCTGTCTCAGCAAGTTATAGTAAGCAAAGCTGTTAGCCTAATTACATTTGTCAACAATCCAAGAAGAAATAAAATACAGGATAGACGGGCCTGAACATGCAGCTTGGTTGATAGAGTGCTTATCCAGTATCTGTGAAATCCTAGGGTTAATTCTCAGTACTGAATAAACTAGATATTATAGCTCAGTCATATAAACCCAGCAGAGAGAAGGCAGAGGGTCAGAGGTTCAACATTGTCCTTGGCTATTCAGAACAACCTTAGAATGTGTGAGATGCTCTGGGGGGTGGGGGTGGGGGAGAAAAGAAACACAGATTTAAGAAGCCTACCATTTAAATTAGCAAGGAGAGGATTCGATGACGAAGGCGAAGACAAATACATTTAAGGAAAACGTGGGCAAATGTTTTTGTAACCTCAGGGTGCATGGGCGAGGAAGCAGGACAGAAAACCATCGGGAGCACACGAAGGGCAGTGATGATGGTCACCAGCTGAACTAGCTTCCTGCACTGCCCTGGGGTAGCTGTGTCACATGGCTGTCCTGCACAGCGTTCGCCTGTCGGGGTTGACACTGTGAGGATCACAGCCTGACCGAAAGCCTGGAACACTGGCAAGCGAAGTAATGTACAGAGGTAAGAAGTTGGCAGTGGATGGGGCCAGGTTTGAGTACGTCTGATTCCACAGCTTCAAACCTCATTTCCAAGAGACACCATTTCTCAGTAGACTAGAGTTGACCAAAGAAAAGTGTGACTCTTATAATTAAATATATATATATCATATTATC